TCTATTACCGGTGGTGGCTATGCTTGGCCAACACATCCTTTTTTGAAATCAATCGCTTGGCCATAGTCAAGTAAAATGTTGCGGCAACGTGAATTTACAGTTTAATATTTGAAAGAGAAAGATTATCGTTATGACTAATCAGAATTTAAACGGACACAAATTTTTTTTTTTTTTTTTTGTGTGTGAAATAAATGTTAGTCGATTGCAATATTAAATAAAAAAAAAAAAAATTAGTTTCACATCACTTATTTATTCACCATTAACTTTAAGTAGATAGTGATGTCAGGAAAACCTCCAAAACAAACTGAAATCAATATACCACCGGGTTTACCTGGTGCAATCGCACAAATAGCTTCAGAAGCATCAACTGGGAGCGGTAAAGGTCAAGATGATGGCAAAAATGGCGGAGGAGGGAAACCAGAAGGACCAGGAGTAAAACCAGGAGGAAAACCAGGGGGGGGGGTGATGTTGGAGCAGGAGAAACAGTTAAAGAAGGACTTGGATTTCTAGAGACCGTACAAGTAAAAGACGATATTGAAAGAGGATTGGAAAGTTTTGATCCGGACACACAACAACAAAGAGCAACCGAAAGTGAGAACATTACATCAAGGATTAATAAACTAGATGTAATAATTACGATTGGTCTTTATTACGCGTCGCTTATTATGGATTGGTTAACATCCTTAGGAAACTCAACATCTGTTGGAGATTATTTCTTTAAAATATTTTTTGCATCATTTAATGTTTCGCAATGGCAATTTGGACAACTTGATTTAGTGGCAAGTATTTCAGGCATGACAACAACATTACAAACGGGGATTTTTGTAATTGAGGCAACAGTGTATGGGATTGCAACTGTATTGAAAACCAAAATGCCAAAGCAATTTGGAGGGCCTTTGTATTTTGGAGGACCATTCCAGTTTATTCACATAATTAAAACATCGTATGAAGATTATCATCAATCGACTAAAAGTTGGGATGCTCAATTATCTCAAGGGATCGGAGTCATAAGTCAAGTATTAATTATTATCGCATCGATATTTGCAGCGAATTCTAAAATAGGACATTTAGGGGCCTTACAGCCACTTGCTTCTGGAGAACCAAATATACTTAACGCTAATTTCACACCGCCTTCTGGTACTGAAGTTAAAGGAGAGCCAATTAATGTTACAGATTCAACACAAGTGACGCTGGCCGTGAAGAATGCAGCATTATTTGCCATGGCCACCTATTCGGTTTCAGTTTTTGCAATTATTATGTCATCATTGTTAAATATTATTCAATGGATGGCAGACGTTTGGCGTGTCAATAGCGATGATATTATCATATACTATATATTCAAATACTTCACCAGATTAATGTGTTGTTATCCATGCATGAAAGGTTTTCAAAATCAAGTGGATGTTGCGCCAACTAGCAATAAAACAGGTCCGACTGCTACCACCACGAGCTCTGATAATTCTAATCCTTTATTACCAACCTCATCTGAAAAGCAAGCACTGTTGTAAAAGGTGGATCGTAAAGATAGGGCAAAGTTAAATATATATATATATATATGTAATTATAAAGAATTATAAAAGGGTGATTAATGTCACGTGAATATATAAAGAAATCATAAATATATATAAATATTGTAAATAACAAACACTGGCAATTATGATGTAATATTTTATAATCATTATGTAATGTCAAATTTTGGCGTATAAAATAAAATTTTGATGAGTTTCGCCAATTTGGTAAAAACTTAACAATGTCTTTG